GAAAGGCCTGGTGATCTCCTTCCAAAAGATTACAGCCATTGAAAACCCTGTGAAGCACAGTTCTTCAGTAAAGCACATGGGGTCCCCTTGAGTTGAATTTTACTTGGGGACCACAACCCCAAACCTCACACCAGACCCCTGGGAGACTCAGGACAAGGGGCTGTGCAGTAGAGGTAGACCAGGGCCCTGTTTTCACTTTTCAGAGGAGCCACTGTGTGACGGAGAAAGAAGAAAGCAGCTTTCCCATGAGTCCATAGGAAAAAACAAGCCTCAAGTCCCAAGTCCACCATGATTCAGGACATGATTCAGGGCAATGGATGATGTTCAAAGATCCCAGCCAGTGCTGTTGGCACCGAATGTGGCTGAACACACAGCCTTCCCAGGGAAACCATCACTTTTGGGGGCGCGGAGAATCAGGTTCTGGGGGTTTCTGTCCCTTGTCTTATGAGGACAGGAACGCAGGACCTCAGTTCTCTGCCTTCAGTCCTCTAGGAACAGAGGGTCTTCTTTTGGATCCTCCTAGAGGCTAGACTCAGGTCTGAGAAAAGAACAGCTCACACAGGGCTGTCCAACTGCAGAGGGCGGCTGGGATGGGAAAGCAGGACTTGTGGGCCCTTCCAGTGGACAGGTTGCTTGCTCTGCTCAGAGGCCAGTGCAGGAAGTTCCCCAGGCAGCACTAAGGCCGGGAAACCCAAGCAGGTCAGAAGCAGACAATGAAAAATCCAAAATTGTCACACCCGAAGCTGTTGTCTTTACAAGAATTATCACCAGGTCTTTACTCCTACAGCATTGTTTGAACTGCCTGCCTTTTGGGTCCCAGCCAAGTGCTTAACCTCTGCACCACCAGGGATCCTAAAAAGTGTTCCAAGAGAGCAGCCTTGGGGCACGGAGGCGCCCTGTGGGATGTTCTAGTTGTGCTGAGGTCTAACACAGGCAGTCTTTCCTGTACATAAAGTCCAGTCTCAGAGCCCCACAGGACACCACGTGATGACAGCGCTGAGCAGAGAACATTCTGGGTGGTTGTTAAAGAGGCTCACAAATTGCCTTTCTCTGCTGATTAGTTCTGGTGGAGGCACAGGAAACTTTTTTTTTTTAAGGTCAATTAGGCCATAAATCAAATCAGACTGAACCTGATCCCAGCAGCCTCTTGGGCTCAGGCCTGGTGTCTTTTGCTCTGCAGCACTGGGGAGCTCAGGAGATGCCTGCTTGTTCCCTGCCGGCAGTTCATCCATCATGTCTGTCTGCTCTTCCTCCCCTGGGCCCCAGGGGAATGTGAAGCCGAGAGGTCTTGTTAATAAATAGCGGCTCACTGCGTGGTTGCTTATAAAAGCCTTATCGTCTTTTAGTCTCATCAAAACTCAGGCCATGGAAGGCTCAGTACCAGGAAAAAGTCTCCATCTATCAGACTTCCTGGCTCTCGGAAGACAACTTGAAGAACACCAAACCACAGCTAGATTAAGTTCTCAGCCTGAGCTGAGAAAGCAGACCGCATTCGGTCCTTCCTCGGAGCTGGCCGGGACAGTGCTGGACTGAGCTAAAGTCAGGCATTTAGGAAGATGCTGGAATGGGCCCCTCTAGTTAGACAAGTCCTCATCTTCTAACCTTGCACAGGAAACCTTTTGTGCTGTCTCCCCACTCTCTTTCAGTGAGAATTTCCAAGCTGGAGACCTTGGCCAGTGAACAGGTTCTGTCCCCCACACTCTGTCTGGGCTGCCCAAACACCCTTTGCAGGTGACCCATCTCTGACATAGTGTCCTTGGGCCATCAGGCTTGCGACTGCATTCCTTCCTGCTCACTCTTGTCTCTCCAGCTCCAGCTGCCCTAAGGGCTCTTTCCCAGCCATCACCCCTATCCTTCTGGAAGGAAGCTGTGTGGGGCAGCCTGAGGGTGGGGTGAGGGGTAGGACTGAGATGTTTATTTTCACCATTTCATGGTTACAGTCCCACCTGATTCGATGTATCCAAGTATCCTGATTGCATACTTGGCCACAGGAGCTTCACAGCCTCACAGGATGGGGCTGCTTCACCCGGGGCTCTTGGGGAAAGGAACCCCACCACCGGCCACACCCCTTTTCCAGGGGGCTTGCTCATACCCCAGCCTGAGGGGTGGGTTGCACGTACTGTCCTAGCCTTGGTCTTTGGCCTCATTCTTCTTCTCTGTGAGTGTTTCTACCGCTGTGTCCTGAGCAGGTACTGGACGTAGTGTGACCCAAGGGTCCTGACCCTGGTAGTCATGGCAGTAGGGACAGAGCCTGCCAGTCCCTGCTTCTCTCCTCAGCCCTTCCGTCAACTCCACATGTGTCCCAGGTCCCAGTCCTGGTCCCAACCACTGAGCGTCCGGGTCTGTGGAGCTGGCAGGTGCCACATGTGGGGCCAGGGACAGCTTGAAGGGGAGTTTCTGTACTGCAGACGTTTCCCTCTGTGGGAGAGATGATGCTGGCCCAGTCTGACGAGAGGACTGACCTCCCCCCCCCCCAGGGGCCAGGTTTCTCCTGGGTGGGGGCGAGGAGGTAGGATTTTGGAAGAGCCTTCTAGCCCAGTGGAAGTGATTTGGGCTTGCATACCACCCTCCCACCTCCTGTCCCTTGTCCGTGTCCCAGAGAGCCAATGGCAGCCGTTTCAGATTCTTTGGGGTTTTAGCAGCACCTGAAGGTGTCCCCTCTTGGCTTTCCTTGGGATGCCCTTCCCAGAGCTAGCTGCCCCAGCCTTCTGTGGACTGTTTCTGTGAAGGGTTCTTGGGAGAGGTTGGGATATGTATTTGAGGGTCTTTTGGGATCGGGGTTAAGGAGTGCCTGAATCTTGTCCAGCCAAGCACCCTGCTTCCTGAAGGCCCCCACGGGGCACGACAAGGACCCAGGGTGACCTGCTGTAACACGGTGGGGAGTAAGCTGTGCTATCTTGGACAGAGTCACAAGTCCCCAGGTGCTCCTTGTTTACCAGGAGTTAGCAAGGGCCTGTGTGTAGAGGTGAGGCCCTGGGGACTGCCTGCAGGGTTGAGTGGGGGGTGTGGTGCAAGGGCTGCAGGGAAGCAAGGGTGCTCTCTGAGACTGGCAGCTTCCAGAACTGGTGGTCTGGGAGGGCATTGCTCTGTGACACAGTGCCTGCAGCGTGTACCTCCGTGAACACATGCCCAACAAGCTCCTGTGTGTGCCTGGGCCCCGTTCCCTCCTGAAAAGAAGGGTCTGCTGGGGGCCCTGACCCGACTCATGATTACCAGGGCAGGCCCTGCAGACTCTTGGAGGCCGTCGTGTAAGCTATGGGGACAGCCAAAATGCTTGTTGAATGGAGAGCCAAAGAAAAGTCTGGAGCTCTGGCAAGTTTCCTAGTATGTAGGGGTAAGGTGTGGTGGGCCTCTGCAAAGGACTTGTGTGTCGATTTGGACTCACAGTGACCCATGTACAGAGCAGAGCTGCCCTGGGGGTTTCCTAAACTGTTGTCTTTTAGGGACTATTGACCAGTCTTTCCCGCCTGCCAACCTTTCCATTTGCAGCCATCGCGCCGCCAGATGGGGAAGGCTCGAGGGGAGGTGGACTGTACCTGCAGAGTGGAGGTCTGGATGGTCCCATGTCATGTGGGGTCCAAGATACGGAACTGGGGCATCAACCCTGCTGGCATTCTCCAGCTTTTCCTCAAGCCCCCCAGAGATATAGAATCCATGTGGGGCTGGTCCACCAGGCACAAAAACGGGAGACCTCAGTTTAGCAGAGGTGGGGGTGTGTGCTGCATCTGCTGAGTCCAGAGCTGGGGTCAGGGTGCCTGGGACTCCAACCAGTGCCAAGTGTGACAGTGCATTTGGCACCATCCCCTGAGTAAAGGGATGAGCCTAGTGGGAGAGAGACTAGGGGCACAACTCTGCATTACCAGGCTCCCAGCCTCTGGAATCAAAGTGCTGCTGCAAGAACACATATTCTGCTCGCCTCCCTGACCCTCCCTCCACAGCCTCAGGACAGGACTTGTTTCTGTACTGCAACCTAAGAATGATGTTTACAATTTCGAAAGTTGTAAAGAACCAAAGCAAAGATGAATCTTGGACAGAAACCAAACGTGGCCCACAAAGCCAAAACGATTGACTCTCAGCCCACTCCAGAAAGCAGGCCGCCCCTGCTTCAGGAGGTTCTGGCTCCCAGGACCCGGCGGCTTTGTTATTTATAGCAGTCGCTGTTTTACCCAGCAGGCTTCAAGCAGAACAGGCACTGCATCCCCCCATTTCATCACCAGCTCCTCAAGGCAGGTGGTCGTCGTTGGGCTAAACCGATAGGCCCCCACGGTGCTTTGTGGGAAATCCAAATGGAATGTCCTAGAAGGAGGCAGTCTGCCTCTGCCCGCTTAGTTCTGAAGGCTCCCCAGCCCTTGTAGAGGGGACTGCTTTTCTTCAGGGAGACGCCATTGAGCCAGGTTCCCTGGAGCACTGGCTGGTCCCACCCTAGAATCGATGTGCTTAGCAAGGAGGCTCTCAGAGCTGTGGCTACTCTGCCATCCCTGCAGTCTGTTGGGTTGTCTTTGCTGTTTCTGCTCTGATGCGTTGTGGTAGACTTCGGTCCTGAGCAGCTGGCTCCCCTTGTTTTGGAAAGTATAGCCCATCTTGAGCAGTAATCGCGATAGAGTGTGCCAGGGCCAAGCAAGGAAGCTGCCATGGTCATCTCAAGTGACAAGCCTTCCACTGTCCAGAGGGCAGCAGGCCACCTCCCAACTCTTGGCAAATAGTTTGGGCCTGAAAACATTTCCCTGTGTTTGGGCTTGAGGAGAACATGGTAATGAATCATAACCTGTGGAAATACAAAGAAATCTCTGATGAGGGATTCTTGGCACACGGTCTCGTAGGCTCTGCAGATCTAGAAGGCTCTTGAGAAAGTCTGTTTTGAGCTGGAGGATGGAGTTGGGTCTGTGGTTGGGGCGGCTGTGTACAGGCAGGTGTCAGAGCTCATTCATCCTAGGGTCCGCGCATGTTCGCTTCTAGGCACCGTGCCCGCTCTTACCACTCCGACTCTGCTCTCGTTTCAGAGGTCAGCTGGTGGCTCCAGTCCAGAAGGGGGAGAAGGTAAGGACACCCCCCCACCCCAGTGTTTGACCGTCTCAGATGTCAACATGGGACCACCTGACTCTTGTCTCGTCATTTTCTGTAGATTCTGACCGAGAAGATGGCAATTACTGTCCTCCTGTCAAGCGAGAAAGAACTTCCTCTTTAACCCAGTTCCCACCTTCACAGTCAGGTGAAAACTGCAGCCCTTTCATGGATGGTAGATGCACTGCTGTTCAAAACCCCACCTGTCCAGGCCACATATGCCCAGTCTAGTACCACCTGGGAGGAGCAAACCCTGACACCCCACCAGGCACAGCCTAGAGTCCAAATTGCCCCTTCAAAAGGAGAGGGGCTGTGCTTCAGGTCTGTTTCAGCTCATAGTTGAGTTTCTGAGGAACAGATGGTAAATTCGAACTGCTGACCCTTGTAGGTAGCAGTCCCGTGCTTATCCTATAGCGCCATATGGGGTGGACAGTGCAGAATGCATTGTGACACTGAACCCACCCCCCACGGCAGCCTTTTGCAGGGGTACCGTGTGATCCTTACCAGCCAGCTGTGGGTCTAGAAAGGAACAGTCAAGATGTGAAGCTGAGGCTTGCACTGTGCACTCCCATGGACACTCACAGTGCACACCTGTGCTCACTCTGACACTCACACACACACAAAAGTGCCCGGGGCTACTGCCCCAGGACAAGCATAGTGGGTCTGAGGGTAGGTCAGACCAGGACTCCAGAGGTGGGTGGGCCTGGAGGCGCTGGCAGTGAGGTGTGACCCCAGTATACCCCCTGGGGATAACAGCCCCTGTGGCCTCTTTGTAGGGCCCCCACTGCTGGGATGGGTCTGCCCACAGAAGAGGGAGCAATCACTCCAGTTGTTGGTTGTATTCCTTCTTGCTGGTTGTCTAAAAGGTACAGCAGGAAAGAGGGTCGTGAGTTCCAGAGAAAACTATGTGCCGTGCTCATGGGTTAGAGGGCCAAAGGACCTCCAGATGGTTTTCTTTGCAGCCCACCAGCAGCCCACCTTCCCAGCAGTCCCCTGGTGGGTGGCAGACCATGGGGAGAGGGAGAAAAGTGCTACCGAGATCTGGTGTACAGCTCTTGCTGTGTGCAGCTGTGTTCTGTCCACACGTTCCCCAGCTCCCAGTGCCCCTCACTGTGGGTGGGGAGGCACAGACTCAGGAGAGACTTGGATACCCCTTGGGCCCCTCCCTCCCAACCAGCCCTGCAGAGCTCACAGGTTTAGGGGAAGCCAATTGTAACCAGCAGGAGATGACAGGACAGGAATTAACTGCTACAGACATCCCAGGCGGGAAGGCCGCTGCTGGATTTAGTGGCACCTTTGTGCCTGTTCAGGAGAGTCTGCATTGCCTTGCCTGTATGCTGCCACTTCCCATGGTGGGTTGGACCATGCGTGGACCCCGAGGTGGGGAAGATGGCCTCGTCTGTGACTGCCCCTCTTACACTCTTTTCTCTCTTGTCCCTTCCCTGTCCATACCACCTGGCCAACAGTATCAAAAAACAATGTCTTCATGCCATCAACCTTCTGCGAATCATCTGCAGGCAACTCTGACTCGGAACCAGGTGAGCCCCAGCCCATCATGCCCATAAAGCAGGAGTGTCGTCTGCAATGAGGCAGCCAGTGGGTCCCGTCCAAGAAGACCCTGCCCTGGACTGTGCATGTGCGCTCAAGAGCCTTGTCCACGTGCTTAGTGTGGGGGTCTGGGCCCCAGTGGGTGACAAGGCTGGAGAAGGCCCAGGATTTCCTGGTTCTGTCAACAGTGGCTGGGTATTCAGAGCTTTAAGTTCTTTTCTAAAAGGAAAGCTATGAAGACAAGTGTGTTACACATTTTCTCAAAATCTTAACATAAATAACTTACATTCCTTTGTTTAAAAGGCATTCAGAAATGGGTAGAGTCAAAAGAGCCCCCTTACCCCTTTCCACTCATTCTGCTACCGTAAAAATGGTGGTGGTGGTCAGTCAAGTCGATTCCAACACACGGTGACCCCATGTGTGCAGACTAGGAGTGAGCTCTAGGCTTGACAAGGCAGTGGCCTCTCGGAAGCACCAGACCTGTCTGGTACATCTGGGTGGGTCTAACCCCCAACCTCCCAGCAAGGGTTGAACACTTAATCACAAAGGTAACTACTGTTAAATTTGACTCGTTTACCAGCCCCCTTTTGTGTATTAAATTCTCACAGTGATGAAAACCACTTAGATCTGTTCAGAGTATATCTGATCACAGCTTTACAGCTTGAAGGGAAACAGCTTGGTCCTTCTGAAGAATATGAAGCCTGCCTTTTTTGGTCTTTTTGCCAGAGAACAACTCCCGAGATTTCCTGAAAGCTGCTCCCATGTGGCTGAAAGACCTCATAAAGGCTTTAATGAGCACATTTAACAACTTGCGTTCTGTAACCCAGCCCACCTTATATAAATTCATTGTCAACTTCAAACACATGTATAGAGCTTCAAACCAGTTCATTCCAGCTCAACCCCCCTGCTGTGAATTTGCCTTTCCACCCCAAATGACTGAATCCAAATGTCTCGTTTAATAAGCTCCCCAGGTGAGTCTCTTAGATCCCTAAGAACTGCCTGGGGCTCTTATTAGACCGGAGCTTCTCTGACTGTGGGTCTCTGGGGTAGAAAGGCAAATGTGCAGCAGGGGGTTGATTCGGAACAAACCCAAACCCTTGCACATGGCAAGAGAAGCCACCCTCTGGCGGTGGTAATGTTGAGGGGCAAGATGCCTTTATGACTTTGAGAACTGATTTGATGGCACTGTTTCAAGGAATGCAATCCCTCTTGGCTGCCCTCCTCTCCAGCCCTGAAGAGGACTTGGCTTTGAAAGGCCCTGGGAAGTCAGTCTGGTGGTTGTACCCGACATGAAGTGCTCTGAGAACAGGGAGGGTGGGGATGGCAATGTCGGCCACCCCCTCCTCCTTCTGACAGCGCAGCCTGGCTGCGAGGCAAGCTTTTTTGTCCTGTCAGGCTCCCTGATCCCTCTGTGCCATTGATCTCTATTAGGTGTCTCATGGTCACCCTTGAGGTCTGCGAGTGACGTCTCCTTCCCCTCACTCCACCTCGAACCTCTGTCCTCCAGCATGGTGAGCAGGCGGGTCCTAAGGAGAGGGGTCCAAGCCTGACACAGCCCTGGGTTGAGCAGGATAGAACGTGCAGTCTGCAGTGGAAAGCTGCGGGAATAACCTTCCACCCTCTCTCCCTCTCTCCTTCCTCACTCCCTTCTACCTCCCTGCTTTCCTCCCTCCTCCCTCCCTCCTACCCTAACCTTCCCTTCCACCTTCCTGCTTTCCTCCCTCCCTCCTACCCTAAC